GAAAGCGCTTGAACAAGCTCCGAGTGGCATTCACGCCGCGATCGGAAAGCGCCTTGCAAGGGCTCAGCATTTCCCGCCATTTTATTAACTGCACATGGAGTAGCGGCGATGGTAGGCAAGGCATACGTCTACCACGCTGAACGCTCTTCCTAGAAAGCGTTTTTTTCAATATAGGGTATGGCAAGAACTGCAAGTAACATTCCGCATTTTGAAAAAGAACGGTTATCACTCGCAAACCAACATTGAGTAGGGTTGCAATACTGTTTAAAAAAAGTTTCTAAATTGCCGAATGATTTTGAAACCTACCGACTGCTAGAAGTGAATTCAAGTTTTACAAACTGAATGCTGTGTTCATCCTGTTTAAGGAAAAGTAGGTTCTTGCCTACGGTTTGAGTAAGTGGTTGCATAGTTCTCATAGAATTTCGCAATAGACCTGGATCATGCCGTATATATCAGGGACAGCATTAGTAAATTGACGGATACGATGTATTATGAATGAACATCGCACAGTCGCAAAAAAACTCAAAATTGGAATTCTTTAAAAACGGAAGGAAACCCTTCCTTTAAGAATCAAATTTAAAGAAAGTGCAATTTGCTATCAAATAAGTACAAAAGAGGATTTTTTTCGAGCATGCTTTCCATAAAATATATTTGAATTTATAGGGGCAGTCAAAATCTATGGTAAAATGCATACTATTTAAGTAGCCATTTTTACAGAATCAACTTTTTTGCAGCGGTCAGAAAGAAGCTCATCACAGAATCGGCATCCAGGCGTGACTGAAAATAATTGAAATTGGACTGTATGATAAACAGTATTGCAACCTTACTCAACGTTGGTTTGCGAGTGATTACCGTTCTTTTTCAAATTGCGGGATGTTGCTTACAGCACTCGCCATACTGTTTAGTTAAAAAAACATGCAACGGAAAAAGGATATAACTTTTTTTACATAGTTAAGTAAATTCCGTTTGCTTCATAGTACTACTATTTGCGTAGTACAGATGACCATCAGTCATAGTTCAGAGTGAGGGAGGGAAATATCTGTTTCCGACCGTGATGTTGCAATAAGGACAGGGGGGTTGCGGCTGCTGATTCTGTCAACAAGATCATCCCCGAACAGACAGTGTGCGTAGTCAGTTCCACAAAAAAGGTGCCCCAAACGAAGGTGCGGTTCTGTTCAGAGGCGAAAGGTGCTCCTTTACCAAATCGTGGAATTTCGCAATAAAATCAGAAGACAAACTGGGGTAGTAGAGTCCGTGTGATAAGGCATTTTTGATTGAGTAGTATGGATTTTAATTGAGGTTCCTTGCGATTACTATTTGAAAAGTGAAGTACTACCCAGAAGTTACGCTGGACGAAGGGGACTCACACATAGGTCCAGTCTCTAACAAACCCTTCGTGAGGCAGGAGACTGTTTAAACGCACGTCTATGAACTAATAGTTCCGTTGGGAGTGTGGTGACACAGCTTTAGTCACCTGTTAGTGTGGATAGCTTGCACACAATCTGAACTGTTTTAGAGGGCTGTGAATTAGACCGCAGCACAGGACACGCCGACAATAGTCTTTTTAATCGTAAGGGGGGAACACCAAAAAGACTAGTATGGAAGAAAATAAATGTACATGATTTGCATACGACAGTTAGTATTGTCTCCTGCAGAGTATGCAATAAAGAGGCAGTAACTGATTAGGTAAGGCCCTTCGTCACCCCTAGGGATGACAGCGAGTTCCTGCGGATACGGATGACGTCTCTCAATTCAAACTACCACGATACAATGATCACCCGTTTCTCGGAATCAGTGCCTACGCAACACAACACAATGGGCGTAATTAAGGCTCGAGCCACGGGGTC